GGTTGGAGGAATCGTTTGGGATGGGAAATGTGTGTTGAAAGTAGATAAAGGACCAAACATGATAGTTTCTTAGTATCTATATTGCAAACAATAATGCCCAAAAGTAGAGAGAGAGTATGGGGGAAATTGTCTGCCATGGAGGCAGTGGGAGGGTTGGAAAGGGGTGGGTATACTGGGGACATTGGTGTGGAGAGCATGCACTGGTGGAGGGATGGGTGTTCGATCATTGTATGGCTAAAACTCAAACATGAAAATTTTGTAACTGTATCTCACAGTGATTCACTAACAAAAAATAAAGAGTCTGGGATGTAGCTCAGTTGTTGTGCCTAGGTGTCTCACATGGGTGAGACCCTGAATTTGGTCCTCAGGACCAAAACCATTAACAACCACACAAGTTCCCACTGTGTGGGCATGTGAAGAAAACAGCCCAATTCCAGACCTCCAGCTAGTAAGGAGCAGTTGGGAAATGCATTCACATTGAAATGGAAAGGGATAATGGGGAGCGGGGGGATGGATTAACTTCTGGAGTAATCAGATGTTAGGTACCACTAGTAATAAGGAACTGATCACTTTTAACGGGTGGCTGAAAATGTGGGCCTGGCACCAGGGAGATACCCACTAAGATTTGGGGTGTTTTCTTCATAGAATAGAGGACACTTGGAAGGCATGGATTGTGTGCAAGAAAGAGGAGGCCAGAGGCCTGAGAAGGGGCAAGGGAAAAGCAGGACATGGCCTAAATGTGGACAAGGGGGTGAAGGACAAAGGCAGGCGGGAAGGCCAGAGAGTAGTATAGCAAGAAGGGTGCTTTTCTTGCTTGTGGTTTCCAGAACTACATATGGTCCCTTGAGCCCCGCCAGGGTGGGTGTCGAGCCAGGACTGAGCCCTGAACACTGCCGGATAAGGCCAAACCAAACCAAACCAAACCAAACCAAACCAAAAAGATGCCAGAGAGAGCTGTCAAGGGCACGGACACTTGGCTTCTATCTCTGCAGCCTGCTCTAGCACTTAAAGATGGCTCCAAACTCTGACACCTCCCGTGGTGGGGCAGGAGTCTTTTTGCTTCTTGGAACCCAGCTACCATGGTTGTATGAAGCCCTAAACACCGTATGAGAGAGAGAGAGAGAGAGAGAGAGAGAGAGAGAGAGAGAGAGATTGTGTGTGACTATGTGTGAGAGTATCTGAGTGAGTACATGTGAATATATGTGTGTGTGTGTGTGTGTGTGTGTGTGTGTGTAGCATCTTATAGACAAGAGTGCAAGCTCCCAGCAAGCATGAACTTGACCCTGTGTGATCCCATCATCCTGAAAATGGATTCTGGTAGGACAGTCCCACTTGAGACCACGTAAAGCCATTCTGGCTGAGTCCTGATCAAATGACAGATTTGAGAGAAAACGTTCTCAAGTCACTGAAAGCACTTCTTTCAGAAGCATCTGTCTGCAATGCACTGGGGTCTCCTTGCCAAGTGCATAGTGACTGGCTGGGGTCCGTTGGGCTCTTCCCTCCCATCCTTTGTTCTGGTGTTGGGGGCACCTGCACTGGGCTCAGAGCTTGACTGCGGTCAGTGGTGAGGTGGGGCTTCAGGTCTCTCCAAGGGGCAAGAATTGGGAGCCAGCACACGAAACCTTGTATCACCTCAACAAGAATCGAACTGACACTTCCCGGCCTCCTGGTTACCCAGTGGCAGTGCAGAGCTGTTTCAGTGAGAAAGATGGCAGCTGCTTAGGCTTTCAGTTTTTTGTTTTGTTTTGTTTTGCTTTTTGGGTTACCCCAGCGATGCACAGGGGTTACTCCTGGCTCATTCACTCAGAAATTACTCCTGGCAGTGCTCAGGGGACCATATGGGATGCTGGGAATCGAACCCGGGTCGGCCATATGCAAGGCAACCACCCTGCCCGCTGTGCTATCGCTCCAGCCCCCAGGCTGCCGGTTCTTCACGTTCTTCAGCTGGCAAAGCGGGGCTTGAGCCAAAGCAGGGGCAAGCAGTCAAAGCAGTTCAACAACTGGAAGTCCATTTTTGGGGTGCATTTGTTTATTTATTTTTTTAAAAAATGTAGGAAATGAACAAAACGTTATCTCAAATGTATCTACAACAAATAAATTACTTCCAGGGCAGCAGATGCAGACAGACCAGTCTCTGACCTTGACCAAGCAGTTGTTGCACAAACTCACACTTTCGGCCCGCTCCTCCCCCAAGCTGAGTGTCCCAGCACTAGAGCTGGGTGCGGCCTTGCTGGTGAGCACGCAGGAAGCACAACATATGAGTGTAGCCTGGCTGGAAGAGGGCCACGCCTGGTCCCCAGGCGGCTTCCACATGCACCTTTGCCTGACTTCAGAACTGGTTTAAAGAAAATAGTGTGGGATGTCATGGGGGTGGCAGGCTCACGGAGGTGTAGGTGTGAAACTAGGAAATCCGTTTGAGGTCTCTGGAAGGAAAGGTGATGGGTGGGTGGCCACCAGCCCGCTGCAGAGAGGAAACCAGAGCCTCACAGAGAGTGGGTCAGGGACAGGAGGGATGGAGGACCCAGGTTCTCAATGAGGATGTGAGTTCAGCAGAGGGCAGGAGCCCCCATGGTCTCTGATCCTTCACAGAGAGGGGTAGCTGGGCAGGGCCAGCCTTTCAGAGAGGAAAAGTGCCAAAGGCAGCATGGTGGGCGGTGGAACAAAACAAAGTCCACTGGAATTTTCCTTGCTCCTGGAAAGAATTCAAGAGCTCTTAGAGGACACCAAGTCAGGAGATAGGGAGAGGCTTTGCATGGGGGAGGTTGTTTCCAAGGCGAGTGTTCAAAGCTGTGTGCTGACCAGCTGGAACGCAGTCCACCTCTTCCTAGACCCCAGGACTGTAAAGGCCATGCTCAAGGGGGCTAGGCTGGGAACACGAGGGAGCTAGGCTGTATGTGAGTAAAACCTTTCCTGAAAGACACACCCGCCTGGAGACTCCCTCTTCTCAGTTAATAAGGGTCCTGGATCCCAAACATCCCCACCTTAGTACAAGACTAGCAGCCCTGCTAGGCATTGATCATCCGTCTCCATGACTTTCAAACAAACAAACAAACAAACAAAACAAAAAGGTAAAGAGATGTTTCTGCTCAGCACCAGCTGGTGATTGTGAGGGGACGGTGAGTCCCAATATCTGATCTTCTTTCTATCTTTATTTTTATTATTATTTTTGGGGTTTCTGGGCCATACCTGGCAGTACCTGGGGCTTATTTCTGGTTCTAGGGACCACTCAGGAACCACTCCTGGCAGCCCCGGGGGACCATATGGGGTGCTGGGATGGAACCTGAGTCAGCTGTGTACAAGACAAGTGCTCTATGCGCTGTACTATAGCTCCCTCACATATTAGAAGTTCTGATATGATTTTTTTAAATGTACAACTTTCTTTTTTTTTTTAAAAAAATTCTCTCTCTCAGGACTGGAGAGATAGCACAGCGGGCAGGGCGTTCGCCTTGCACGTGGCCAACCTGGGTTCGATTCCCAGCATCTCATATAGTCCTCCGAGCACCACCAGGAGGTAATACCTGAGTGCGTGAACCAGGAGTAACTCCTCTGCATCGCTGGGTGTGACCCAAAAAGAAAAAAAAAATCTCTCTCTTTTTCTGCCCCTACACCAGAAATGTTTGTGAGGCCCACAGGATGCCAGGGATTGAACCTGGTTAGACACATGCAAGACATATGCTCTAACTGCTGTGCTAGTTCCTTGGTCCTAGAAACTCATTCTTAAAACGTTTCTGTAAGCTAAATGAAAGCCCCAGAACCCATGGGTCACGCTATGTTCTTCCCTGGCAAAAGGGATCAGGATCCTGAGTTGGGGAGATCAGGTTGGGTTCCTGGTGGGGCTTTCTAAAAGTGGGAACCCTGAAGATTGAGGGAAGGGGGAGAACCAGTGCTGTATTCTGACCAGCCACTGGAAAACCAATGCTGCATCATGACCAGTCACTGGGAACACTCGGAAACCGAGGAAACCAGGCAGCCTGGAGCAGCGGAAAAGGTGAGCATGTGGCTTTCCCCTGAGCTTCTTAAGAAGGAGCCCAGCTTGGCCGACTCCTTGGTTTGAGATCCGGGAAACCCACTTCGCACTTCTAATCACCAGAACCTCAATACAAGAAACCTGTGTTGTTGCAAGCCACCAGGAGTGCCAGCCATCCTTATAGGGCAAAATAAACCGATACAGGGGGCCACTCCTGGGGGCATTGGAAAAAAATTTAGGAGATGAAAATATCCTCCAAATTTTGGTTTAAATGCCCAAATGTGGCTGCAGCTGGAAAAGTCTACCCAGAAATTAAAAGAAATTGCTCTCATTTCAGGGATTTAAGGATAAGGGGACCCAAGAGGACCCTCTGCAGTGGATGACCAGTGCAGAACACTTAGAACTCTCCTAGGAAAGCAGCTCTGTGCTCAGTGCTGCTCACACAGACATCCTCTCCTGACTGGGTATGCTGCAGACTGGTCCCACGTCCAAGGGCACCAGCTCAGGCTTTTCTGGGGTTCGGAAGAAGTTAAAAACCACCAGCAATAAGTTAGCAACAGATGTCACTGTGCCAGGTAAGAAACAGCTGTGTGGTTATCCACTCGACGTCTTAAACATGAAGAGCAAATAAATAATAGTAGCAAAAACAGAAAGAAAACTTGTCATTGCATCCTGGGCAACGTCCCACTGTGAGGGCTCCTAGGAGTAAGGATTAGCATCCGGTATAGGTCCAGGTCCGACTCCAAACCCGAAATCCATGGCACGCTGTGAGTGGGGTGACTCACACCCTCCCCTCCATGATGGCCTGAGTTCAGAAGGACACGAATTGTGATGATTGTAGCCAGCTCACAAGTCATGGTTTCCGACTCATCAGTCTCATCACGGGGTGAATCCTCCTGGATGGGGCAGTGGTTGGTGGAGTCCAGGAGAACCAGCTGCTCCTTCGGCCAATCCTCTTCTTTAGCTCTGGCGAGGTGGCTCTCAGGGCTCTGCCGGGACCTGATTTCTGCAAAGTCTCTGGCATGCAGCCACATTATCGTGTGGGCTCCTCGGGCCCCTGGGTATCCAGCAAGGGAATGTTTGTGGTCCCCGTGTTTGCCTCCACATTGTTGGGGTGGGAGAAGGTATAAGGTTCGCTCTCAGACTCAGGGGATAGCTCATCTGGGGTCAACTTTTTCGTCGGGGCCCTGGAGACTGAGGGGGGTGGGGAGGGAGGGCAGCTTCCCATGGGGCCCTGGAAGGGCTGGTAGGTGTCCACCTCTGCCTGGCGGAAGGAGCCGTTGGACTCCTGGAGCAGGTGCCCATACACCATGGTGTCCTCGATGACCGCGTACACGTGGGAGTCGTTGTCCTTCCGCCCTTTTGGAAACTTTTTGGGCTGCATTGGCATCTGGGTATTGACGTGGCCGTTGTAGACCCCAACAGCTGGACCCTTGTGTATCTTCTTTTTCCTGCTGTGAGAAAGGGAACAAAGGAGAAGTTAAGGCATGGGTCAGTGTGTCCCTGCAGGCTTCTGACCAGTCTGTCCCAAGCTGCCCACTTAGCCAGTGAAGGCTCAGAGGGGACCAGTGTCTGCCTTCTACCATCAAGGTGCAGACACAGTGTTACAGAGCGCATCTTTCAAGCTTGAGTGAGGAGTGCATTTCAGAGCTGCTACGTGCAATCCTGGGGGAGATATCTAATAGCCCTTCTTTTCTATTGGAAGCATAAACCCCAGCCCACCCGAGACGGGCAGAGGCCTGTTGAAGCCCACCGTCTATATCATCTCTCTTGATACCTTCCCGGAGCTAATTCTCTGTCCCTTTCTGAAGTGGGGGTAAGCGCCTAGATTTTATGTGGTAATAACACGAGACTCGAGATGGAAAGTAAAGTCTTAGCTTATACGGGGTCTGGGACAGAACTGAGCATCAGTGGAGACTGTGGCTCCTTCAGCAGTGACTGGCTGCAGGGCTAAACATCTCAAAAGAAGACAGAATTCATGCGTGTGTGCAGAGCTCCTCAACACCACCAATGACATGTGACTTGTAGTGCTCATTGAAACTGGGACATGGATGGGCATTCCTGCTCCCTGCCCAGGAAAACAAAGCTTTGGGTGGGGAAGACAGCCTGGGAGCTGACCAGAGATTCAGATGGAGAACAATACCCCAATGGATATGATAGGCCCACAGCACGCAGGCTAGAGAGTCACTAATCATGGAACTGACTGTACTTTCTGGGCGATGAAAATAAATTCAGAACTTTTAGCTTGTAACACTGATTCTCTGGCCAGTAAAACAGTTCCAAAGTCTTCTCTCTGAGACTCTCCAGTGCTTTTACTATTCAGAATTTTTTTTTCTTTTTTTTTCGCTTTTGGGTCATACCCGGAGGATGCTCAGGGCTTACTCCTGGTTCTGCTGTCAGGAATCACTCCTGGTGGTGCTCAGGGGACAATATGGGATGTTGGGGATAGAACATGGGTTGGCTGTGTATAAGACAAATGCCAAACCTACTGTACTATCACTCTGGCCCTTCCAGAAGCTCTTTTAGTTCATTTGAGCCCCAAAAGAAAAGGAAGAAGAAACCATGTCTTATTGTATTCCCAGTGCCTTGCCTGGTTTCTGGTGCCTAACAGACTCTCCAACAGAAACACTGATGGAGCAAACAAGTTCAAAAGACCTTGTTCCCTCTGCAGATCCTACCTGGGGTAAACCAAAGCGGGTGGCCTTCCCCAGGCAAGGCTGGGGGCTGCTGTGTTCAGGCTGAAATTGGGGGATTAGAGATAGATGTGAGAGTTGGACCCACCCTGGACCCAGCACCCTCCCGATGAGGAAGCTAGTACCAGGTCGTCCCGTTCAGCTGCCCACCAACTGCCCACTCCAACTAGAAATTTCTCACTCAAGAAATAGGATGTTCTGCTGCCCACCACTCTGCACTTCTGTTTCACACAGAAAGGGCTCGTGGCAGGCTGGCCCTTCCTCACCCAATAAGATGTGCCTAGACACTCTCATCACTGATCAACTTCACTTGTTTGCTCATGGCTTGGTGAGCAAACAAAATGTTATAAAAATGTGTGTGTACATTTTTCAGAAGATCCCATCATACAAAGAAACAAAGATTCTCTCTCCATGGCTTCCATCAGAAATACAAGCAGAACTGATACAATCTGGAGGCAGCTTGTACTGAATAAAAGAGGTCAGCACCTTGTTTTCATAAAACGGATATTGCCAGCCTGAGGGGGTGGCATTGAAGGCTGGGTCAGGCAGCTGGGCTTTCCTCTTGCCCACAGGGCTGGCTTTCTGACGCTTGTCTGAAGGCCTCTGAGCACACACATCACGGACAGTTTAAGAAACGGGAGAACCAGCTGGACCACATGTGCCAGTTTCCCTTAGGAAAAGGGATGGTGCATGGGGAGAGGCCTGGCCTGGTGGGACCCACAGACAATTCTGCCAAGGATCCCCTTTGAGGCCCACAGCTGGACTATTCCCCAGACTCTGATGGGAAGGCAGTGGACATTTCCTCAGACAGTGCTGGGATAAGGCCAACTCGGCCCCACACAGGTCTCCTGGTTTGAGGGGGTTTCTTTTCCCACCCCAGGTAAGGGAATTTTCCTTTCTTTAAGTGTAACTTGCTTCTGGCAATGTTATCCAGCACTAAGCTTCCTGGAAATGGGACAAAGTTATTTCCAGAATGACTCCTCATTCTGGAGTGTCAAATGGGCCGGAGGCATCCAGGAGTGTCCACCTACTTCTTTTTCACACAGCAAATGACGAGTCCAAGGGTTAACAGCAATAAGGCGCCACTTCCCACCACAGTGAAGATGACAATCATCAGGTCTGTGAGGGAGAGAGAAGACAGTTATCTTGAGAGTCATGGCTGCAGGAGGCTCTCCTTCCCACCCTGCCCCTCACTTTGGGAGAGCCGAATTTCCTTTCTCTGGAGTCTGGTCAGTCCATTCCAGGCCTAACCTCTGAGAGGAGTGGTGGCAAGCTTATGTGAGGGTGAAACTGATACCATGACAAGCTGCAGCTAACATTAAGTCTCAACTAGACCTCAGTTTCTGTTTCCCCAGAGCAGGACTTGCAGTTTCTGGTAAACTCCTAATTCAGCAATTTACCTAGAAAAGAAACTGGGTAGTTGGATCTGGCCAGTCATGAGGGGTCGCCGTACCCTTCTTGGAAAGAACCCTAAACTGTTACTGGTACCTGCTAATTGCTGACCACTGTTGTAACAGGGCAATGCTAAAAATAGATCAGTATATAAACCGCTATTAACTCTGAACCCTATATAAACTGCTTGTGATTTGGAGTCAGGGTCCTTGTCAAGACTCCACTCACTGCATTCGATGAGACTTGGACCCTAGCTCGAGCTAGCCCATAAAGACCCTTTGCTTATTGCATCACAACTTGTCTTTGTGTGATTCCTCTGGGGAGATCTCGGCCTGGTTTAACACCTGAGCACTCTCTCAGGAGAAGCCAGCCAGTGTGCTGGTCTGACTGTGCTGAGAGCATGCTGAAAAGAAGCCCAAATTGGCCATGGGGAGAATCGGGGATAAGAAGCCAGGGAACCAAGTCAAGAGCTGGCAGCGGGGCTCAAGACACCCATCTCAGGTAAGCTATCCCAGCCACCCTCCAAGTATCTTAGAGCAGAGATGAGCCACCAACTGTGCCCTGTTGCGATTCCTGACTCATGGGATTGTGAGCAAACAAAATGGCCATTGTGTCCTATTGCTCCAGCCCCCAACCATGTCTTTTATGATGTGACCCTGCAGCTCCTCCCACCAAGAGATGGAGTGCCTTTGTCTAGCTCACACAGCTGAGCTCCTCACCTACGCCTCAGAAGAACTTGTGTATTTTCTCCAGTCTCTTGTGGCTCTTTCCGCCTCTACCGGGGGCTCAGCCCGGTTATCACAGCTGCTCTTGGCTGGACTCTGAGAGAGAGTGTCCTGCCAGGATCACTAAGCCCTTTAGCCAGCCTGCTGCTTGGGAGGTGTCAGGGAGGGTAAGCTCTGAAGAGCCCTGCGCTATGCAGAACTGCCTGGTTCATCTACGTGCAGTGGCACACGACTATTCTGAAGCTACTGAGTTCTGACACGGCTGGCCATGCAGCATTATGAATGTCCAGACAGCCAGGACCCAAAGCCTGTATTCGGATTCACTTCCTCAGCCTGCTCCGATTTGTGGCCCACCGATGTCCCTTCGGGACTGCAGAAGGCTCTTACTCATGGTTCTCGGGGTGAGCGTCACCCAGAAGTGCAGGTCCAGCTGTTTGCCGCTCACAGGGCTGCAGTTGGAGATGTTGACCCAGAAGCTGCGATGGTAGCAGCTAGGCTTGGGGAACGCGTCCACCTCTAGGTTGAAGATCTCCTCAACATGGGTCTGCTGCTCCTGGATGATCATGAAGGTGCGCCCTGTCTGGCACACCACTCCGCTCCGCTCCTTGAGGAAAGTCAGGCACGCCATCTGGTCCCGGGGCACGCTGATGTTCCAGGACACTGAGGTTAGGGGCGGCATGCCCCGGTCCCAGTTAGGGGTCCTCAGGTAGACCTTGCTTTTCGTGTCTGGGGTCACCGTGATAACACCCTCATCTGCAGGAAAGAAAAGAGAAGTCACACAGTTGGGGTTTCACCTCTGTGGAGGGCAAAGGCGAGGGGGAAGGACCCAAGTGCACTGTCCAGTCTCCGTGATGAAGGAAAGTGGTTTCAACATCTACACGGCACTGGGGAGCAGCCACCACCACAGCTATCAGTCAAAGCCCGGCAATGTGCATGGTGTGATGAGAAATAGAATTTCCCATTCTCCTTATTATTAACTGAAATTGAAATCACCACATGTGGCCAGTGGCTGCTGCACTGGTCAGCACGGAAGTAGAATCTTGGTCAGATGAGACACTCAGGTCTTTCAAAAACAAAAGACCCCAACAACAATAGCAACAAGACAATGAGTAAAACCCAGCACAGCTGGCTACACCAATGGTCATCGCAGCGGCCTTTCGGAGGTTCCCAACTCACGGACACTCACCAGCTCACGACTTCCTGGAGGGACAGGGAGATAATCAACTTTGGTTCTAGAGGTCACCATCACTATAAATGCTGTAGCTATAAGGCCAAGAGTGCTTCTGATACACCAGTGAACCCATTCCTGACCTGAAAAAGGCCATCATCTCACAGTGATAAGAATGAGTATTATTTATTTTCAAAGACTCCCCAGAAGGAGTTTCTCTGGTTAATCCTGTCAACATCAGTCAGCCTGGCCTGACCATAATTCATCTGAGGGCTGGATGATGGCCTTCCTGTCCACAACAAAGGACCTAGTTAACCTCAAATAAAGATCTTGGTCAACTTTACTCGAGCAAATCGATGAACAACGAGAGGACAGTACAGTATAGTACAGACAGTGGTCAACTTTACAATGGTCTCTAATGCAATGGAACTGTTCTCTGAACACTGTGTGTGTGTGCGTGCGCGCGTGCGCACGCGCACACACCCATACACACATGTCTTTGGGCCACACCCAGCAGTGCTCAGGGGCCATATGGGATGCCAGGAATCGAACCTGGGTTGGTTGCATGCTAGGCAAACACCCTGGTCTGCTTTACAATTTCTTCACCTCCTCTGCATTCTGAATTGTGCATAAAACATCTTCTGTCACTACCTTAAAGATCCAGGACTGGGGAAATGAGGCACATTCTCATTTGTGTCTTGTCTGTTTCCAAAAATAACTTGGAACTTGTTTACTTATTCGACCACTTCCCAACCAGGGCCTCCTGTTGCCAGAATCGTTTCTCTTTTTTTTTGCAGTTTTGTGGGGGGCGTTGTATGGGGAGGGAGAGAGGTGTTTCAGGTAACATCCAGCAGTGCTCAGGGGTTACTTCTGGTGATCAGGGATCACTCCTGGTGGGCTTGAGGGACCATAAGGGATTCTGGGGACCAAACCCAGGTCGAACACGTGCAAGGCAAGCGCTCTACCCACTGTACTATTTCTCCAGTCCCTCTATGCCATCTCTGGAAACTGACAATGAATACAACAGTACATGGTGGGAGACCCCAGAGCCTCTTACCTTTGAGGTATGGGATAAAGGACACGGTCAGGCTCTGCCTAAGCGCCTCTTGCTGGAAGGTGGGGGCAAAGGTGCGGAAGGTCACGGAGATGTTCTGCTTCACCTGGATCTGCTCGATGGAGCCTCCGGAGCAGAAGGAACCAAAATGCAGATTCTGACCAGGGGCGGTACTAGTGACGAAGTAGCTGAAGCTAGTGTTGCAGGGCCGCTCATGCGTGTACTGCTGTAGCTTCTGGGTCGGTACCAGTGCCAGGCTGAGCTTGTCCTCAGGCACCTGCAGCTTCCAGGAGAAGTCATGCAGCTGTACAGGCAGCTGGAGAATGTCCCAAGGCACCTGGAGTGAGTAGGACTTCCTGGAGCAGTACCGGTGGTCCAAGCAGCCTGGAAAAGAGGTGGTGGTGTTGGCCATGCAGGCACGTGGATGGGTCAGGGGCTTCCCTCTGGCTCTCTGGTCTCCCCCACCCTCTCCGCCCTACTCCTGGCCCCCAGAGACTCCATTCTAGTCTGCCTGCTCACTCAGGTTCTTACTGTTTTATGGGCTAGTCGACTGACTTGTATGAGTATTTAGAGTCAAATGTTCTTTTCTCTCTTCTGGGAATCTGCTTCTGGGATGCTAAATGCCTTGTGGGCAGAACTGTTTTCCCTCCTTGGGGCTCTGCTGTCCTATCCATGGGGAGCTGGCTCTGGGCAGAAATGGACCTCAAGATTGGCAAGATGCAAGTATGGCAGAGATCCTGGTGGCCCAGCAGGAAGGTGAACACTGATCTATTTGTTATATAATCAGCACCTGTCTGTCATAGCTAAGGGATAAAGGGAGAAAAAATAAAGGAAGCCAAAGTTTGGCAAGCTCTAGTCCACGGGGAGAAGGATGTAGTGAAAGTGTGGGGGGCATGTTAGGGAGTGACCAGGCGAGGCTTTGGGAGGAAATCCGAGGGCAGGATTATTCCAGAGAGCCGAACTGAAAGGCAGGTGTGGGGCAAGGACCACACTGCTGCCTGTGCTAAGCTGTCACTGCAAAGCATATTCCTCATCCTGATAGCTGCAATCTCCCCAGGCCCCCCACCGAGAAGACCCCACAAACACTAACTTAGGGTCTTCTCGGCATTCATCCACAGGCGGGTCAGGTTATCGCACAAGAAGGAGATCTTGTGTTTAGAGCCTGGGGTCAGGGTGATGTTGGTGCCGCAGGTCCGGGACTCCAGACACACGAAGCAGCCAGGGACAAACTTGCGGCTCAGTCTGATGGGCCGCGGCTCGATGGTGACCGACATGGTTCGCTCGTTGCTCAGGTCGACCAGGTAGGTCTTATCTGGAACCACAGAGAGAAGGCAGGTGTTATGAATAGCGTAGCAGGGGCCCCGTGGAGTGGCATAGAGTCACACCAGGCCTCTGAATGGGGAATGCTGGGGAAATCTCATTATAGAAACAATGTTATAATAACTTTATTTTTAAAAAAATGTTTATTTTGCTTTTTTTGGGATCACATCTGGCAATGGTCAGGGGTTACTCCTGGCTCTGCACTCAGGAATTACTCCTGGCAGTGCATGGGGGAACCACATGGGATGCCGGGGATCGAACTCGGGTCAGCTGTGTGCAAGGCAAATGCCCTACCTGCTGTACTATGACTCCAGCTCCTGTTATAATAACTTTAAACAGAAAGATACAGATGGGTTCAGAAGACAGTGCAGAGGACTAACATGCATACTATGCAAGGAGGTCAGTGTTCAATCTTGGTACCACATGTGGTCCTCAGAGCACGACCAGGAGTGACCCCTGAGCACAGAGCCTGGAGTACTCCCTGAGCACCGCTGGGGGTGCCTCCCACCAAAATAAGTAAAAAGAAAGACATGAATTGCATTAACTTTCCTATTAAACTCCTTTTATCCTTCTAGTTCATTTCAGTCCTTGTTCCTACTTAAAGTCTATGTAACATTTTATATTCATCTTTTTACTTATTACTTTATATGTTTTTACTTATTTTGTTACATGGTTTTCACATTCCCAAATCTTTTACAATATTCATTATAAATCTTTTATAATATTCATTACCTCCAGTCGCTGCATAATAAGTCAACCACATGAGATTCGCCAGCATTTATTTAAATACCATGAGCAGTGGAATTACTGCAGAGATATTTAATTCCCAGCAGTGTGAAATTACTGCAGAGACTGAGGACTCAGAGACAGGAGAGAGTCACAGGTATTATTGTACCATAAGTAAGAAATAAGTAAGGAAAAGAGGAACTATTCCGTAGGCCAGGCCAGAAGTCAGTCTCTCCCAGAAGTAAAAGAATGAAATTAGACTGCTACCTCAAAGCAGTGAACTAAACAGAAACCAAGAGGATATTCATATAGATGTGGAATAAATACAAATTATAACATCTAAAAAGAAATTTGAGCATCTCTATCTGATCGCAGGAGCCATAAATCATTACTAGGAAAAACAGAATTACATAGAGGATGATAGAGCAATATGCAGAAAAGGAAACATAAATATCCAAATTACTACATATGCAGAGTTTTTATATCACCGGCACCAGAGACAGCAATGAGTGCACCAATGCTTCCTGCCAACCAGAAGGGTAACATTGAGTCTGATCAGATCAACTGGAGGTTGTGGGGAAGCAGGTGCTCTCCATAGTTCTAGCAGGAGTTTGGGATACTTGTGCCATAGGGAATTGAGAATTAGTATGAAAAGGGAACCCCGGCAACATGACATGGGGATAGAGTCACCCTGTCCTCCTGGTAAACAAAGAAGCAATCAGTGCTGCAACAGTCAGGTACACCATGAAACAGTCATGAATGGAATAATACACGGCAGTTAACAAGACGGGAGAAATCTAAACCAACAATCATGTACTGCTGAATAATGCAGATAGGGGAGGGAAAGTGTCCTTAGGGATTCTGTTGTGTGAACGTCACACTCTTGCCACATAAACCTAGAAGGCATAGCCCACTACACACCTAGGTGAAGTGATCTAGCTTATTGGGATCATCATCATAAATGTGGCCAACCACAGGCCAAATGCCATTCAGTGGTTTAAGGCTGAGCTGAAGGAAGAACAGCGAAGCAATTGGATAGTCCCAGCGAGATAGCACAGTGGGTAAGGGTGCTTGCAAGCAGCCCATATGGGTCCAATCCTCGGTACCACACGTGTCCTTCAAGCACCACCAGGAGTGATCCCTGAGCACAGAGCCAGGAGTAAGCCCTGAGCACTGCTGGATGTGATGTCCAAACCAAAAGAGTTATACAATCATATATAGAATATGGAACCATTTGCTTACAAAATCTCCAAAGTAAAATAGCTCCTTCTAAAGACGAAGTCATGAAATTCATATACAAATGGTACTACATGGAAAGTATCATGCTAAGCAAAAACAGTCAGAAAGAAAGGGACAGACATAGAAAGATTGCATTCATTTGGGGAACATAAAGTAACAAAATAGGAGACTGCACCCAAGAATAGCCGAGATAAGTACCAGGAGGATTACTCCATGGCTTTGAGGACAGCCGCACACGCTAGGGAAGGCAGCTCAGATAGAGAAGGGAGCACTAAATAAAGGGTGTTGGGAGGTTCCTCTCCGGATGGGAAATGCGTGATGAGAGTAGACTACAGACCGAACAAGATTGCCACTCAATGTCTCTTTTGCAAACCACAGCACTCAAAAGGAGAGAGAGAACAAAAGGGAATGCCTTGCCACAGAGGTAGGGTGGGATGGGGGGATGGGGGGGTGGGAGGGATACTGGGACTGGTGGTGGTAGAGAATGGGCACTGGTGGAGGGATGGGTATTCGATCATTATATAACTGAAAGCCAAGCACAAAAATTTCTAAGTCTACAACTGTACCTCATGGTGTTTCACTAATAAAAATTTAAGAAAAACAAATTAAATAAAATATTTATTTTATTTAATTTATTTTAAGAAAACTTTAAGAAAATTTAAGAAAAATAAATAAATAAAATATTTATTTTATTTAATTTATTTTAATATGTATTTTAAGAATATTTATTTTAAGTGATTATTTAAGTGAAATAAATAAAATAGCTCCTTCTATATGAACATACTTACGTAAGTAAATGAAGAGATGAAGAGAAAGTATAATAAAAAACCAGAAACAAATACTATTAAATTCATAACTTTGGTTATAAGAGAGATAGAAAGAGAAAGAGAAAGAGGGAGGGAAGGAGAGAGGAAGCGTTGGAAATGGGGCCAGCATAGTTGGTCAGGAGGGTTTTTTTTGTGTGTGCTTTTTGTTTGTGTGTTTTGGAGCCATACTTGGCGATGCTCAGGGCTTATTCTTGACTCTGAACTCAGGAATTATTCCCAGAAGTGCTCAGGGGACTGTAAGTGGTACCTGGGATCCAACTTGGATCAACTATGGCGAGGCATGTGCCCTGCCCACTGTAGTGTATCTCTCTAGCCTTCTAGAAATAGTTTTCAACTCTTGTTGCTGCTGCTGTTGTTTTGGGGCCACGCCTGGCAATGTGTAGGGCTTACTCCTGGCTCTGTGCTCAGGGGTCACTCCTGGAGGAACTTAGGAAATCATAGGGGGTGCCGGGGATCAAATCCAGGTTGGCTGCATGCAAGGTAAATGCCCTACCCACTGTACTATCGCTCCAGTCCCTCAACTCTTCAGAAGATGGGGTTGCTTTAAAAAAGCGTTGTTTCACTTGATGATGCCACTGCCTGAAGGCCTAACCAGTCACTTTTTGCCTCATTCATTCTGCCATCAGACTGGGAAGGTGCCTGCAGGTGGTGCTGCTTCTGCTGCTCAAGGGTGTTCTTGGTTTGCTCATCAGATCCCTCAACCTCCCTGCATACAACACAGCAAGTAAGTTCAACATCCACCTGTGGGTTTGCTAGGATTCTTCCTTCCTGGTCACCAGACCCACATCAAGAATGGAATTGCTCTTTTTAAACAGGGTGCCAGGGGGTTCAATCAGAAACACAACAGGAAAAGGGGCAAAGTGGTGATACCTGCCAGCTCTTTTCTTTAGTTCTTTTTTTTTTGGGGGGGGGGGTCACACCGGCTATGCTCAGGGGTCACTCCTGGCTCTGCACTCAGAAATTACTCCTGGCGGTGCTTGCGGGACCATATGGGATGCTGGGAATCGAACCCGGGTTGGCCACGTGCAAGGCAGACACCGTACCCGCTGTACTATCGCTCCAGCCCCTTTTCTTTACTTCTTACTGTCTGTTTCTAGGTAAGTTTCCCCGTGAGTCTAATAATCATAGCACTTGAACAAGATAAGCTGCATCAGAGCCAGAGCTAGGATTTTAATGTTGCTCACTCAAATGTGATTTGGTAGAGAAAATGGTTCGCTTTTCAAATGCCTGGACCCACATTAAGCTCATTTCCTACTGGGCTTTAACATTTGTCTTCACAATTGTAAAAAATCTTTGAGGGGCGACCAGGGAGAGGCCCCAATGACTCTTCCCCTAGCCGCCCGGGTTTCGGGCTGCCCTGGGCCACTCACCCAGACGGGGCGGCCTGGGCCATGGGGCAGATGGTGGATGAAACGAGTGACAAGCCGGGTTGATTGATCAGTTGCCACTTATTCCATTGTCCCCATGCGCCTGCTGGAGTCCCTCTGAGCCTCCCATTCTAGTCTCTCACTGCCTCTTAATTCTGCCTCCTTCTGTCTCTCCCACTCATCTCTCGGCGCTCCATCTTGCAGCCTGGGCTCTCTCTCTCCACGTGCCTGCTCCTGTATTCTTCTACATTCTTCTCTCTCGGTCCCCCTTGCTAGCCTCTCCACGGTTCATCATGCTGCCCTGCTCTCTCTCTCCAACTCTTTAGACTCTCCCACTTCCTCACACTCTGGGCTGACACCGCACTCAGTCAGGTAGCAAAATCAGCATAAGAAAGCCCTTCCTGAGGGCCCACCAGGTTCAAAAGGAACACCACCTAGGGTGTTCCAAAGCCCTTCCTGACTGCCCAAGAGCAAAATGCCCCTTAAGGTGTTTTTCTCTTTTCCTCAGTCCAATAATTCTATCATCATCAATACTAGTTTTGTATGGTCACACTAAGAGATAACATTCAGGCTTGTAGGGCAGCCCTCCTGGGAACATCTTGCCACAGACTCAGACTACAGTGCTCAGGCCAGATTAATCGTTCCTAACCCTAGCAGGGTCCGAATCTAGTTACTACTTTTTGGATCATGACAGCATTTGTACATGACCAAGCTCTTATAGTTAAGCATTATGGCGCTTTGCCCAAGCCCATCTCGATGCCAGGGTAGCACAAAGCTTACCGCTTGCCCTGGTTCCATCCAGTTCCTCATTGGGACCCTGCCTGTGGGGGTGC